TACGGCATCATGTTGCAGACACAAAGCCATTTTTACGCAAAATGGGCATGAATGAATTTTTTTAGTACAGATAGTTTGACATTCATTTTTTAGAAATTAAATTAATAATTTCTCAAATTTGTGATTTTTACTAGATTTACGCAAGACAACATACCAAAAAAAAAAAACTGTGAATGATTACAGCCAAACATTTATTTTTCAAGGAAACACTTATAATTCAACGTTATCGCGGAAAAATGCGAAAAAATAAAAAAATATAGTGCTATTTTTATTTATTTTGTAATAGGAATACAATTCAAGATGAATTGTTATTAGGTTACAATATCAAGACAATGCATATTTTGAAAGCTAAAATAATTAAAACCGAAGTACAGATGCGTTAAAAAAATGAAGAAATGAATTATTTACTATTCATGTATTATGTTTAAATTATATAGAATGAACAATGTCATTGTACTCAAAATTGTTACTTAGTGGTGACATAGAAAGATGGAAATCGGAAGGATGCAATTTTAAAATAGGTGATCGTAAATATGTTTACAAAAATGAAGAGTATGAAAAGCAACATCAAGACAACCATAACCTGGGAAAAGAGGATCATAGAAAGAAAGATAATTGTTATGAACAATATTTTGATGATTTTAAAGAGCAGGCTGATTACGAGAATCAATATTATTGCCAAAATGAAAACAAACAATTTAATGAGTATGAACAAGTTACACCCAATAGTTACAAACAACCATGGAACCACCATAGGCGAAAAAGGAATCAACGACAGAGTCAACGATTTAATAGCAGAACCTATAGTAATAACGGTATCAACAACCAAAATAGAAACATGAATTTCAGAAAAAATTATCAAAGTATGAACATGACATCACAGGGGTACGAAAAAGGAAATTTCTATAACAGCGACAGGAATTATGAAGAGTATAACATCGATTAAAGAAATTTACAATATAGATTTGCTGAAGAAGAACAAGAATTTAATTTCCGAAATGAATACAGAAGATACAACGATATACAAAATGATTACAGAATAGAGCGGCAGAAGGATTATGGATATACTAATTACGAAGAATCGTACATAAACTGGGAGGAACCATCTTTTAAAAATGATTATTTCGAAGTAAATAATTTTGTAGAAAATAGATCTAAATTTGAAAGAATACATGATTATGATTTCGTAACACCACCAATTCGTTTTAAAGATTCGTCCACATAAAAAAAATTAGTTAACCCGAGTTGATAAAAAATGTATCGAATGAGAGTGAAAGCTATGTAGGAATAAATAAATCTAAATTAAATATTTTGGGGATTATTCAAATAAATGTACGAATGATTGGAACAAGTAAAAAAATTGATTTTCTGGTGGTTGATAATGTGGTTGATAAAAAATGTATCGAATGAGAGTGAAAGCTATGTAGGAATAAATAAATCTAAATTAAATATTTTGGGGATTATTCAAATAAATGTACGAATGATTGGAACAAGTAAAAAAATTGATTTTCTGGTGGTTAATAATATAATAAACACAATGTATTCTCATGTTTTGCTAAGACGAGATGCGTTGAGACAGTTTGGATTGAGAATAATTGAAGGATCCACAGGGTATGAGGAGGCTGTAGGAGAAATATTAAATATCGACGTGGAATGGATGAGCGGGGAGAAAAAGGAGATAAAAATAAATCCGGATTTAGAGTGGAAACATCATGATCGGTTACGTAAATTATTTGAAATTGAATATATAAAACCGGTACGACCTGAGACACCGGAAACTAAAGTAAAATTAAAATTGAAAGCTCATCAACCTTTTCGTTTCACTCCTCGCCGTTTGTCCTATTCCGAAAAAACAGAATTAAAGAAAATTATAGAGGTTTTGAAAAAAGGGGTACATAGAGGAAAGCGATGTGGAGTACGCTTCTCCTATAGTATTAACGAGAAAAAAGAACGGAGAATATAGGCTTTGTGTGGATTACAGAACTCAAAATAAGTACTTGATTCGAGATAATTATCTGCTTCCTTTGATAGAGGACCAAATTGATGTTCTGAATGGTAAAAAATATTTTAGTTTAATAGACTTGAAAGATGGTTTTTACTATATAGAAATTAAAAGTGATTCTGTTAAGTATTTGTCATTCGTCACTCCATTTGGTCAATACTCGTTTCGAAGGATGCCTTTTGGGTTGAAGACCGCGCCTAGTGCATTTCAGAGGTTCATAAATACTGCTTTAAAGTAGTAGTCAAGGCACAAAGCCGACGAAAAGAGGGACGGAGGCAGTGGTGAATTTTCCGGTACCTGGTAACATAAAAGGGGTTCAATCGTTTCTGGGTCTAGCGTCTTATTTCAGAAAATATATTAAGGGATTCTCTACGATCGCAAAATCTTTATATGATTTAACTAAAGCGGGAGCGAAGTTCAAGTTTGGAGAAAGAGAACTCGAATCGTTTGAACAGTTAAAAAGAAAATTAGTTGAGGCACCGATTTTGTCAATTTATGACCCTGATGACGAGACCGAGTTGCACTGCGATGCAAGTGCACTCGGTTTCGGTGCAGTTCTTATGCAAAAAAAGAAGGACTTGAACTTTCACCCTGTTTTCTATTTCTCCAAACGAACTTCTAAAGCAGGAAGCAAATACCATAGCTTTGAATTAGAAATGTTAGCAATAATTTATGCGTTGCAAAGATTCAGAATATATTTGTGGAAAAAACCGTTTAAAATCATAACGGATTGTAATTCGCTTACTCTAGCCATGAAAAAAAGATATAAATACGCGTACTGAAAAATAGGTCTTAGAACTCCAAAATTACGATTATACGACAGAACATCCCGAAAGCAGACGTATGACTCATGCCGATGGCTTGAGTAGGGCGAGTTGCATTCACGTTATTGAAGATAATTCTTTTGAAAAGAATTTAGCACTCGCTCAGACAAAAGACGGAAAAATAGAAGCAATAGCAAAGCGTTTGGAGAGGTCGGAGGAGAAGTTTTTTGAAGCGAGAAACGGCGTTGTATTTAGAAAAAGGAAAGATAATTTATTGTTTTATGTACAAATCGCTATGAAAAAAAACCTGTTATTTAAATATCATGATGAGACAGGACATGTAGGCGTCGATAAAATGTATGAAACGATGAACAGAACCTATTGGTTTCCGGAAATGAAACAAAAAATAAAAAAACATGTTGAAATGTATCACAGGTGCATCGCTTTTGCTCCTAAGTTGGGTAAGGTCGAAGGGTTCGTGAAAATGATTCTAAAAGGGAATATTCCGTTCGAGATAGTTCATGTAGATCACGAGGATATTTTTGATTCACGTGTTCCGGGAAAAAAGCATATTCTCGTGGTAGTGGATGGGTTTGCAAAGTTTACAAAATTTTACCCGACCAAGACGACAAAGTCAGCGGAAGCGATCGCTTGTTTAAAACAATATTTTGCAGCTTATAGTAAACCACGAGTGCTAATATCCGACAGAGGGACGTGCTTCACCTCAGAAGATTTTAATAATTTTGTAATAGATTACGACGTGAAACATGTAAAATTAGCTACTGCATCGCCACAAGCGGGTTTCCAATTGACTCAAAAAAAATATGAACGTGTATGGGAACCTGCCAATATGAGACCCTGGACACCTGGTAGTAATACATAATTCCGTGCGTTTGTCGTTAAAGTTAAATTTTAAAGCAAATTTTTTTTTGTAGAATTCTCGCTGATTTACACCCGAGGACGGGTGAGTGGTCAGGATTGTTTTAGTTATTTCATGAATTCAGTTGAAAAAAATTGTTTAATTTTTTTTTAAATGATAATAATTATTAGAGAGTAGATTTTGTAAAATTTATCGAGACATCAAAAATGCCACTTTCAAAAGAATCACCCATATAATATATTAATATATATGTCAAGCTTATTATAATATGATATAAATAAAAAATTACCCATAACAATGACAAAATTGCATATATGTATGAACAGATATGATATCTTTATTGCGATTTTCTGTTTTCTGGGCATATAAAGTGTTACTTTACATGCGTCAATTTTGTCGTTTCCCAAACTTTTTTCGCTTTCCTGATAACTGTGGAATCGATGTTTAAAAATGTAAGATAATATGTGAAGAGTAGGGACAACTGATAAGAAGGGGGACCTTGGGAAGGAAGCGATTGCGGAAATAGGCAGGAAAGTTTTAGTTTTCATCATGACGAAAGACATAACACATTGTAAATTCCGTATCGAGTATTATTGTATCCTAAATTAAATATTATGTCTTGATTTATATTTTGAGTTGAACTCTATTTATTGCCCTTTTAAAGTGACCATCCTCTTACAAAAAGTCGTCCGCCATATTGGATCCGACATTTTAATTTTGAAAATCTGTCATCATATTTGCAATCAGCGAACCTAATAACCCTCGATGCCAGTATCATGTAATGTTTCAGTAACATTGACAACATTGAGGTAATATTGGTAATGTTAAGGCAGTGTTCTCAATATTGCTGTAATATTACGTGCTTCTGGGGAAGTAACAATTTCTAAGCAAACCAATCATTTTTCAAAATAGTTGTATTTACGGACAATGTAAGTCAATTTCTATGATTGACAACTGTTGAAAAAATCAATTTTACAGCTAATTTAGTTTGTTGTTAGCAATGTCGCTATATCTTCAAAAAGTAGAGGGTTTAAGGTTTAACTTTATTCTTATGACAAAGTCTCTAGCACGTCGTTTTTGCGCGGTAGAAATTTGCAAAAACTGACAAAAACGTGATTTTTAGGACTTTTACCTTCACTTTTCTCAAAATCCTGACGTGATGGGAAGTTTTTGTTGCCAGATTCGGATTTAGCGCACCAAAAACTATGGGAAATGACTTGTAGATCGCAGACAACGTAAATTTTGTTTGCAGACTTGTGTAATTCGTAATGTAAAACATATCTTGAATTATTTGTTTGTAATTGAAAGAGTAATCACGCGCTTCTATACAATTAACAAGTTTAAATATGTTTAGATTCAACAAGAGACTGGTTGCAGAAAATGTGAATGCAAGGATCCTTGTCGGGGAGTAACTTGTCCTGGAGTTGCTCAGTCATGTGAATTAATAGAAGTTCCTTGTGCTCGACCTCCGTGTCCACCTATTCCTAGTTGTAGGAAATCTAAATCATTTGAAACTATTTGCCCTATTGGTGAGCCACTAAAAATCATTGATACACCACGCCCATACTTATGTGGAAATTCTCCTGGAAAACCTAATTGTCCTCCACTTTATAAATGTCTTGTACAACATAAGCAAGAATACGGCGTCTGCTGTTCCATCAACATCGATCACAGAAGATCTGGATTTTGTCCAGTAAATGGATCAGATAATTGCAATCTTAAGTGTACACTTGACTACGATTGTCCATCTCCACAAAAATGTTGCAACAGCAAAAGGTATTTTTTTAAAACTTTGGGCAAAATATTTTGTTTATACACTTTTAGTTATAGTAATTTTTATGTACATTTTTGGGACCCATTTTTAGTTTGTCGTTTTATAATTAGAAATTAATATTTTTTTTAAATTACGAATAATGAATTCAACTTTATCCGCAATTAGTGACATCTATTTTGATGTACGCAGCAAAAACTTGGAGAAAAATGAATTTTTGTATCAGTGGATTCGTAAGAAGAAGGTCCGTCAGATCGTATTATTAAAAATTTCTTATTATAATTATTTATTGCAAAAAAGAGTTATAAACAATCAGCGAAAGCCTAAAGAATAAAGAAATACTTAATAAAAAGTATGTTAACTCGAGTTAAAAAGTCCAAGAATCGTCGAAGGCGGTGAGCTTGAGTATGAGATAAGAAACAAAAACTCAGTCAAGTCGACTTGGGTGTTTTTGACATAAAAAATGTAACCGAATTTCAGCCTTGGTTTCGAAGCGAAAACCTTAAATCGAGTTCAATGAGCATTAGACAAAAAAATTTCGATCGAGTGCTATATCGTGTAGGTTTGTTTTGTAGGAAATAACTCAGAAGTAAACCGGTTGTTTAGAAAAAATTTAAACATTTAAAATAAACATGTGCGTATTTTATTACAAACTTCAGTTGTAAGTCATTTCAATATATAATTATAAGCAAATATAATCCATATTTTTTTACTAATTACACCGCTTTTTCTCACACAATCCTTCTACGCATTTTTCATAGTAATTAATTCTATATTAAAACATCCGTATTAAAATTTAATTTTTTAAATAATAGTAAATTATAAAATTATAATGAACTAAAAATAATAATTAAAATTTGTATATTCTCTTCCGAAGAGCGGACGAGCTGTGTGCGTGAGGAAGTAAGTTTGAGTCCATAATAGCATTCTTGAACGGGACGTAAACGTAACGAAACAATATACTTAGCATTTACATCCCGTTCAGAAGTGCTATTTTAAGTGTTTCTATTGCGACGTGTGTTATGCGTATTTATTGAATAGTGATGGGATATCGATATCAAATATCGATAATTCTTGATCTTTTGTGCAAACAGATATACTACGCGGAGCACTTTAGATTAACGAATTTTTAATAAATTTTAATAAACAACAAAAAATTTCAAGTGACAAATACAAGTAAGTGTGATATTTACTATTATCAAATTGTTTTTATTATAAATTTACATATGTAGGGGAGACTGGGGTAAACCCGCTGACTTTTTTCAGATCGGTAAAAATCTAGGAAATTATTCTCTAAATTCAAGTTAATTTATATCATTTAAAAGCTTATGATTTCTACTAAAAAAACAAAAAAGATTTTTTGATTTATCTTTTTTAGTTTTACTTAGAAAAACTTATTAATACACATACACCAAATTTCGAAATCACAATTTTCCAGGGTAAATCCGCTCACTTTATCTTTTCAAGACGGAACAGTTTTCTTTTTTAAATATTAAAATTCGTCTTATTCCCGTCTTATGTATGATTTATTATTGATAAACTGTAAGTTCTATAAACAATTCTATAAACAACAAATTGGTTTAATAAATAATGAACATAGATTTCATGAATCACAACTATGGATTTAAATAGTGTTATATTTTATTAAGAGAAAGTAAAATGTAGTTACAATTTTGGTTTTAACAAGTCATAAAGTTTGTTATTGTTAAAATATAATACGTGAAATTATTTTATTCTAAATTTTAAATTTGAAACTAAGTGAGCGACTTTACCCCGAGTGTATTCCTCACATTTCAGAATTAATTTAATTAAATCTTTTTGGAATCAAACAAAACTATATATGTACTTCGAAAAAGGTCATCCAATAGCATCAAAAAAAAAAATTTGCCAAATAAATTAAGACTCAAAAATAATGATCGAAAAACTTAAAAATCCAAAAAACGTTTTTTTCTGACACATCCAAAAACATTTGATTGCCTCTGATTCTATGTTGGATTCATGAAACTAAACGAAAGTTCGTTAATGTAAGTTGAATGTTAAGTACTATTCACAGTTCCAATATCTCCATCTTAAGTTGAGTTCATAGCGCCAAATCGCTAGTGAGCGGGTTTACCCCCGACTCCCTTATTTATAATAAAAAAATTAAGAAAATACATTTTGTGGTTTTTTGAAATCTCTTCCATGAATTCATAATACACGTGAGCCAGAAATTCATCAAAATTCAATTTTTTTAAATAAAAAGTGATAAAAAAGTTATAAAAATACTTTTGACCGATGTTAATTTATCAACTATGTAAAATTTTAATTTTTGATTCATTTGAAGTTTTCTAATGATATAGTAAAATTAATTTACGTATTTTTCGACATAATAATTTTTATACACCTATATTAAAATGTTGTTAACTACATTTGTAAGTGATTGTATATTTATCTTGTAAAATACACTTTCAGAGAGTATACAAATATGCTGATATTTGTTACAGATTACTATTGCGCGCTTCACAAAATAGGGCAATGAAGAAGCAATACCCTGGCGGACTGATGCTACATTAATTAGAAAAAAATTGTGTAATAGACTGTTATAGCATTTGTATATAATTTGAATAAAAGTGTCGTTAATATGAGGTGTTAATAAGTGAAAAATAGTGGCAAAGTGTTATTTTATTATTTATAAGTTAGTTTGTTGATAAATAAAAAGTAATAAAAATTAAATGTGAAAATAATATTATTGGTGACTTAAAATATAAGATTACCGACAAAGCCGTGTGTGTTGTTGAGTTAAACAGATAGAGTCAGTAATTTTTTTTAAAAGGACAGGAAGTATTTACATTGTTTCGAATGCATATTCTCATTCTCATCATGGCCATAAATTTAAAAAGTTATGAAATTAATTAATATTTAAGTCAATAATAAATGTAGTATATTTGCTCAATTAAAAAAAATAAAAGTTTAGTTACAAATTTTAATTCAATTTACTCTTAGCGTGTAATTACATTTATGCTTCTGACAATTGAAAAAATATACCGCAATATGTTGAAATTGCTTTCACACTTACACTGCCGTTCACGAGTATCAGGACGATTACACGCGACTCTATGAAAAAACATGCCATCACTTTTCCAATCATATCTTGTAAATAAAAGGAGTTACAAAAAAACTTAAATACGGTTAGAAAGCTGATTAAATTTTGCGTAAAATAAGCCGTCCTTGAAGTCATTTCGTTAGCTATTTTTTGAGTTGTAGAGTGAGAAAGAAATAAAAAAAATTATTAAATTTTCTTATTTTTGTCTCTTGACTTCAACTTTTTAAAAAATCTAGAAAAATTTAGATAAAATTTTTCTAAAAACACAGAAATCTTCGTTAGAATTTTAGCTTTAAAATAAGCCATCCAAAAATTTAAAAAGTTTATTCCGTCTTCGATATATCATTAAAAATGTGAAGCTGTGTTTCGACCGATTAGTGCATTGAAATTCAATTCTGACAACTCGATTCTGGCTTCGCGTGGCTGCGAATGGACCAGTAGTAGAGCTATGAGAGTTCTACCCCACGGTTTTGATCTCAGCTAAATCGGTCGGTAACTTATCACATTACCATCAGTCGGTAAATTAATAATTGCAGATTCCTACATTACCATCAGTCGATAAAACAGATCCATGATATAAATTTATATTCAACCGATAATTTAGATATCTGCTTTACCGACTTAAAATTTGTATCAGTGATCTGTTTTACCGACTGAGTATGAATAGTTCTAATTGTTAGTTAATATTCCTAATTAACAATGTTTGAAAATACCTGTTTTACCGATTGAGTATATGTAGCTATTTGTGTACACGTTGTCTTTTACTTAATTTTAAATTCTACATTTTTATATGGACCTTCAATAAATTTTAATCGTAGTTGGCCACAAGCAACTGCTTCTTCCATATCAGTGAAGGTTTTAGTATCATTGGAGAAGAAATATTGTAGGTAGAAAGGTGTTGAATTTTTTATCTACCTCAATAAGCACTTTACGGCCATATTTAGTATTGACAATCTGGATCTTTCTTATTGGATACTTATGCCCAGGAGTCAGCTCAGCAAGCGGTTTCGTTGGTAGGAAAGCCTCAAGGCGACCAACAGCGTTGATTTTTGTTAGATCCATTTTAAGAGAAGTGTTATTGTATAAGCTCGTATAAGAAGAATGAGGAAATTAGTTTCAGCTCCTGAATTTATAGTCTGAAATCCCCACTCTTATGAATACGCAAGCGCATACCCCCACTTTTAATTTTTATCCCTACTTTTTAAATATGCTTTTTACAATCCCCAGTCCTAATAATACGCATGCGCCATACCCCCACTCAAAATTTTTATCCCTACTCTTTATATACTTTTAATTTTCACGCATGCTCACAGATCAGAAAGGTAAATAAATATAAGCAATTTTATTACATTTTCATAAATTTATTCACTTTGCAAAAAATTTTCACAATCGTTGTAAAAGTCTTGTAATGTAGGATTGTCAACTTCATCGTGACTAGGTGGTATATTTATCTGTACATTTGATGGCTTTAGTAACCATTTTCGAAGATTATAAACATTTCGTACAGCACACTTATTACAGTTGTGTGTGTGATTTGTGCACGTAGTAAACTGATCTAAATACAGTTTTTTCAACGACGGGCATTGTAAATCATCTAAATTAATTACATTTAATATATATTTTACCAACCATTTTTGTTTTTCTAATCCTTTAACATAAACAGTAGGTGTACCTATTAATATTTCTTTTAATATCGGCTGAAAATCTTTGTAAGGTATATCACCAACATTCCAATCAATACCATGGTAATCATTTGTAGTCCATCGATTTTGACTTTTATACCTTCTTGGTAAACGACTCCAAGAATTTGGCGGCTCGAAGAGGAAGACTAATGGATGTGCATCTGCTTGCAGTGGTACAACTGCTAATTCTTTAATTACAAACTCATTATAAGGCCTCTTGAAGCACTGGAAATCTACGACG